AGATCGATTTCAGCCAATCCTTCTTCTGTGCCCTGCTGCTATGCCAGGAAGGAAAGGGACAAACCTGCCCAGCTCTTTTGAGGAAGAGAGGGTTGTCCATGTTTTTTCTTTGCTGCTTCAGTAAACAGGAACTGTTGTTCTCTCCTGGCAGATAATGTCACCCTGCAGATCGACGGCGTGCTCTACCTGCGGGTTATGGACCCCTACAAGGTACCATCCCTGCCCTTCAGATACCTCTCTCCTGGTTCTGCCTGCTCCCCAAAATGTGTGCTTCAGCCTCTGTATGCTGCCTGGTGGATGGGTTTGGCACCTTGACCCCTCCCAAGGCTTCAGACTCCATGTTTCTGGCAGGGGTGTTTTTGTCTTGGCGCTATGTTTGTCTCTCCTGCCTCGTTCAGGGTCCCTCTTGGCACTCCTATCCACTCTGTTTTGTGCTTCTGCTCTCCAGGCCAGCTATGGGGTGGAAGATCCTGAGTATGCAGTGACCCAGCTAGCCCAGACCACCATGAGATCTGAACTTGGCAAACTCTCCCTCGACAGAGTCTTCCGGGTGAGCTGGGGAGGTGGATCGTAGAGCTCCCAGCGTCTCTGGAAACCGTGGGGCAGCCTGCATGGCCAGGCTGATACACTTAATAGCAAAATGCCCAATGCCCTTTGCTGAGAGGGCTTCTGTTTCAGTTGACCTATTGGTGAATCTGTGGAGATGGGTCTTGTTTCCATTGTTTTTTTAACAGGAGCTATTTTTTGCCCTGCCCTGGGTTGTTTGGAAGGGGGTGATGGGTGGCATGTGCCCAGACCCAGCTGGTCCACCTGTGTTTCTCTTGAGCCAGTGACTCATTGCTCAGACCCAGTGATGCATGGTTCATGGGGCGCCCTAGTCCTTGTGCTGCGTTTGCTGGGCAAAAACAGAAGGTGTTGGCATTCCTGTTTTATCCAGATGTACACTGGATGTTTGTATCCCAGCAGTTTCAACTGCGGGCCCTGCTCTCCCTGGGAGATGGTGACCCCTTCAAGAGCTGCAGGAAACACCTGATCCTGCCTGATGCCTTTGGAGATGGCTTTTTTCTGGCATATCTTGGCCCGTGGTGGAGGGTGTCTGTTTCCCTCCTGACACCTGTCTCATGCTAAGAACCTCTTCTTTGCTCTCTGTCATTTCCTTTGTGCCTCCCAGGAGCGAGAGTCCCTCAATGCCAGCATTGTGGATGCCATCAACCAAGCTTCAGACTGCTGGGGCATCCGGTGCCTGCGCTACGAGATCAAGGACATCCATGTGCCCCCACGTGTGAAGGAATCCATGCAGATGCAGGTGTGGCTCTCTGGGAGGGAGGTCTGGAACAGGAGGGAAGTCTCCTCTTCCACACAGCATCATTGTTACCTGTCCGCAGCTGGCATCACAGGCCCTTCCTGTGGTGAGAGGCACTTTGGTTGCAGACATACAGCTACTGGACTGAATAAATAATTCCTGTCCTAATTTTGGCAGTGGTGGCCCCTGCCTGGTACACCCAATGCTTGCCAGCTCCCTGTAAAATCCCTGCTGGGCTCTATAGGGAAGCAAATCCCGGAGCTGAAAGTCTCCTCTTGAGAAAAGCTGGGCACCAGATCTTCAGGCTGGAAGGGGAGGAGGGGGAAGCAGCTGTCCAGTTAGGTGTGGATGGGGCTGGGAAGGGTTGTGGGGCCTGAGGAGCAGAAGTAGCCCTCAGCAGGAGCATGCGGTGTTCTGTAGCTGCATTCGCATGCTTTGCTGAGCCATGCTGGCCCCAGCAGAACCCAGGAGTGTGTCCTTACCCCAGTGCAGGCATGGCAGGCTGGTGTCTGACCTGTGTTTGCAGGTGGAGGCAGAGCGACGGAAGCGGGCGACGGTGTTGGAGTCAGAGGGGACGCGGGAATCTGCCATCAACGTGGCTGAGGGCCAGAAGCAGGCCCAGATCCTGGCCTCAGAAGCTGAGAAGGCTGAACAAATCAACAAAGCTGCTGGTAATGCCTTAGGGTAGAACATGTGGGGATCTGTAGCCATCTAGACTGAGGGGTGATGCTGCTGGGGAGAGACCACATCACTGTGGGCCAGGTGTCCTCAGCCACGCTGGTCCTTCCCCGCTGGGGCCTTTGTGCTGAGCTCCAGCTCATGCTGCTGCCCTGCCACAGCCTCGGGCAGCTGGAGGTGTGTGGCAATGCTGCTGTTGGGGAAGAGAAGTCTATGCATGCATGAACTTGTCTGGATTCACTCCTTGAAATTTTCTGCGTTTGCTCCTGGCAAGTGCTTTGCAGCAGTTCTGACGTGTGTTCTGCTGTGGTTCCTTGCAGGAGAAGCCAATGCCATGCTGGTCAAGGCCAGGGCCAAGGCGGAGGCAATTCAGCTCCTGGCAGCTGCTCTGTCACAGCAGGTGAGTGACAGCTCCTTGGGGCAGCCACTGTCTTGGTGCTGGCACAGGGGGAGTTGACACGTGGCTGGGGTGGCACCTGACTTCCTCTTGGACACTTGCTGGCATTTTCAGCAGCAGGGAATGAGGATCTTTGCTGTCCCAGCTGGGGTGGGCTGGGCATGTGGGCACGGATGAGCTCATGGTGGTTCGTGACTCGTCCCTCTCTCCCCAGCATGGCAGTGCTGCTGCCTCCCTGTCTGTGGCAGAGCAGTATGTGAATGCCTTCTCCAAGATTGCCAAAGACTCCAACACCGTCCTGCTGCCCGCCAACACCGGCGACGTCACCAACATGGTGGCACAGGTCAGTGTGGTCACTCGTGTCCTGGGCTGATCCAAAGCAGTGTGGGCAGCAGGTGAGGGAGGGGATTCTGCCCCTCTGCTCTGCTCTGGTGAGACCCACCTGGAGCACTGTATCCAGCTCTGGGGTCCCCAGCACAGGAAGGACATGGACCTGTTGGAGTGAGTCCAGAGGAGACTGCCAAGATGTTTAGAGGGATGGATTACCTCTCCTATGAGGGAAGGCTGAGTGAATTGGAATTGTTCAGCCTGGAGAAGAGGAGGCTCCAGAGAGAGCCTTCCAGTACCTAAAGGGGGCTTACAGTAAGGCTGGAGAGGGACTTGTACAAGGGCATCTAGGGATAGGACAAGGGAGAATGGCTTCAAACTCAAAGAGGGTAGGTTTAGATTAAATATTAAGAAGAAATTGTTTACTAGTAGTGTGATGAGGCACTGGCACAAGTTGCCCAGGAAAACTGTGGTTGTCCCATCCCTGGGAGTGTTCAAGGCCAGGTTGGATGGGGCTTTGAGCAGCCCAGTCTAGTGAAAGGTGTCCCTGCCCAACCCCCAGAGGGGTTGGAACAAGACAATCTTTAAGGTCTCTTCCGAGGTAAACCCTTCTGTGATTCTTCCCCCAAGGGGGTGAAGGTGGCAGCGTGCTGGGGCCTGGCCCTCTCCTCTCCACCCCTCCTCATGACTCTCTCGTTCTCTCCAGGCCCTGGGGATATACACCACACTGACCAAGCCACAAGCTGTGAAGAGCCAGGACGAGACGCTCCCAGCCCACGAGGAGCCCCAACCTGCCTCCACGGAGATGCTGAAGGCAGAGCAGGGAAGCTCCAGCTAACGGGGCTGGAAGGATCTCGCTCCCTGTCACGAGGTCTGCTCCGCAACTGGCAGGCTTGTCCTGCCGCGGTCAGATGCTCTTCTTCCCTTAGTCCCTATTTTGTATTTGGATTTAAATCATGTAATAAATGGTACCGGTGCTGCTGCAGCACGTTCCTGTGTGCTTGGGGGTCTGACCCTACCGTCCAATGCCAAAGGGGAACCATCCATCCTCGAGAGTCTCCTGCCAGGAGCTCCCATGGACATACAACGATCCACGAGGAAAAAATTAGAAATTAGGAAGAAATTCTTTACTTTGAGGGTCGTGAGGCACTGGCAGAGGTTGCCCAGCGTGGGTGCCCCATCCCTGGAAGTGTTCAAGGCCAGGCTGGATGGGGCTTTTGAGTGGTCTAGTGGGAGGTATCTGTGCCCACGACAAGGGGGTTTGGAACAAGATGATCTTTAAGGTCCTTTGCAGCCCAAACCATTCTATGACTGAACTTCGGGCCCTCTCACGGCGGGCAGGGGTGGGGGAAGTTTCTCTGAGAATGTCAGCTCCTGTCACTGTCCCCTCCTGTTGTCTCGCAGAAGCTGCCTTTACAATGCATGAGAGTGCGTTCTCTGTAGAGGGCTCCTTACACCGCGCACCGCAGGGCGGGGAAAGCCTCTGCCGATTAATTAATTAATTGAATAATTAAAAC